AATATTTGATTGTAATTTTTAACATGAACTCTTACTCACCTGGACTTGGTTCATCCCCATGTTGGCGTAATTTAAGTAAACATCGTCCTTTTAATCATGACCATAGCAGGTGGATGATCGACGAAGGAAAAATCTTCATTTTGGTTTGCAAACTGGACAGGTTTTGGCTCTTTATATGACCAGGGCTGGATTGTTAATGAACCAAGGTTATAGTTGAAAGATGTTTGTGCGAAGGAGCTTGGAATACTGATCTTATTCAAAAGCTAGGAGATGACAATTTGATGGCTTACATTCATACTTTAGCTATCCGCTTGAAGCAAGTGTCAAGCAAATTGATTTGGTGTCCGACTCCAACAGGATAGTTCTCTACTAATACGGCTTGGAATCTTTTACGTGAGACCAAGGACAAACTTCATCTCTTCAAATTGATTTGGAATAAATTGCTCCCGGTAAAAATCTCAATCTTCTTCTGGCGTGTTTGGTTTGGTATAATACCAGTGGATAGTGTTATTAGAAGTTATGGTGTCCCATTAGTATCACATTGTTACTGTTCTTCTCATACAAAAGTGGAGGACGTTGAGCACCTATTTCATACTAGCGAAGCAGCGACTCATGTTTGGATTCATTTTGCCAACATCTTTGGAGCTCGAATTATTTTTGCTAGTTCATGGCCTGCCGTACTTATTAATTGGTTGCACCAATTTGATGGTTCTTCGCAATTTCATCAACTTGGTCTTTTGACCCCAAGCTAATTGCTTGGGAGCTTTGGTTTGCACACAATGAGGCTAACATAAGAAGGTTCGGACGTGAAGTGACTCCAGGATTAACGACTGGAGCATCCCAATGTCTTGGAGTTGGAGGCCAGCCCCATGTGAAAGATCGGGATCAAAGACCCACTTCAGGAATAGGGGTTGATAAAAGGAAATCCCTATGCAGCAGTTTATGATTTTCAAACTAACAGGGACAGACAGAGGCATTGACATATCAAATTTCTCTCGTTTCCCGAACAGGATTAGATACCCTGGTAGTCCATGCTGTAAATGATGAGTGTTCGCCCTTGGTCTACGCGGATCAGGGCCCAGCTAACGCGTGAAACACTCCGCCTGGGGAGTAATTTAATGAAGGTTTGGTCAATGGACATAAAATTTGCTCCAAAGTGAAACACTGGTTGGTTGAATTAAATTCATTACTGCGACCATCACGTGCTACTCCCTCTCATCTTCATGCTACTCTCCATTGTCTTGGTATGGCTCCAACTCCTTTGACAACTAAGGCTCCTCTCCTTGTTCCTTGGTATCGTCCCCCTTGTGATATTCTTAAATTTAACATTGATGGTGCTAGATGTGGCAATCCTGGTAGAGCTGGCTATGGTGGGGTGCTTAGGGATTGGAAAGGAAAATTT